AGATTTAGAGAAGAACTTTACACTACAGCCTTGGGGTGCTGAAAACACTGGCATGAATAGTTTCAGTGGAATTTTTAACATTTGTTTTCCTGTAACAGTCACAACACACCCACATCCCAGAACATGAGTACCCCCCCACCCCCAATTTTTAAGTGGCTTTATCAACAGAGTGCTAGGTTCCAAACCAGCATCTTCAACATTTACTTCAAGTCAATTTGCTGTTAAATCCTAGAAATACAGGTGGGGAAAGCCTTTCTCTCCATTGTGTTGGAATAGCTCATTAGAGGTTCTTTGTGTCCCATGAGCTATGAGGGTTTGTATTCAGGTCATCCCACTGAAAGGGAAAGTTTTAATTGACTTCAATATGAATCAGACACAACTGAAGTTTTGATCACGCTGGCTAAAGGTAAGCAAGATTAAGCACGTCTTTGCCTCATACACGGGCAAAATCCAGATGCTATGTAAGATTAACATGCAAATAGGAGAGAAGTAGTTTTGTTTGACAGATGTGATAGACCTACTGGTCCTGCTTGTGAGGTGCTTAAAACATGAGTCTTTTCATACTTTGCAACCTAATACATTGGCAATCATTGTATTGTCAGCTGTTATTTTGCAAGCTCTTTCCTGGTAGACAGCTGGGGAGATCTGTTCCCTGAAGACAGATTAGGAATAAATAAGGACTTGGATCACACTCAGAGGCCCATCTATTACTCTTAGTCCATGTTGGCTGCAAAGGCAAATAAGATCATAGGCTAAAAGCACCGAGAGATGTGGTAAGGGTTATCTCCAAGGTAGATTCTGTTTCTCAGAACAAGCTGTGAAGACTTACTTGGTTTCTTGCCTTGTCTAGAAGAATGCCCCATTAACTTCCACAGAAGTTTGCACAAATAAATCTTTCAGGTTTCAGTCTTGAATTAGTGCAACCAACAGTGACGAACCACACAAGTGATTAGAAAAGCCCTGAGGGAGAGATTTAACAGCAGCTCACACTGACTTGTTTGTCCTTGTGTAGTGGAGACATTAGACAAGAAAAGCTTTCCTTACTTCTTTCAGTCCCAGAAAGGAATAACACATGCACCAGCGTACTACTTCCAGAATGAGTCTTACTGTAACACATCCTCACCACAAAGGCCCAAAGACTGCGCTAACCAAAAGGCACATGGTCATCTCTTTAGAGTTATACTGCCAGAAAATTGGCAGCTCTGTTGTGTTGCAAAACCGTTCCTTATAGCACAGCTTTGTGACAACGGCCAAATGCAGCCGTTAATGAAAGCCAAAGCTAAGTAACTGGTAGAACGACTTAGAGACAACCCCCCAAAAAAGGTAACAAATACTGCAGATTCACCACTTTCTTCAGTAACAAGGGCAGGACATAAGAGAGCTGTAAGGTCAAGTGCCCTAGTGGTAAACCACAACAGAGCCCAGACTGTGTTTACTTGAAACACTAACCCAGAAAAATTCACCTGTGTCCTCTTCTCCCCCAAGCCCTACGCATTTACCCATTGATATTTATGACCGTTGTGCTTCAAGACACAATAGTTCAGTCAGCCAAATAATCCCACATGCTTTGGTCAGCCTCTTGATCCAGGTGTTGTGCAATTCCCAAACAGCAGGCTTGCCACATCAGCAAGATTTGCATGATACAACTGGAAGAGGAGTAATGTAACAGCAGATTCAAGGTATATATGAGGGACTGTAATCTGGAAATTGCATTGGAAAAAAGTTTGAGTGCATATGGAATAGGTTACTGATTCTTGAAATACTTATTTGTTTTTTCACAAGGCAAAGAAACTTGAAGAGCACTTTAAACCATGATTGTAAAAGCAGGATTGACCAGGATCCACATTTTACCTCTTGAACAGACAAATACATAAGCGACTAAAAACCCAGAGACATCGGTTCATCTGATACATTTTCAAATGCTTTTGTATGCCAAGTATATGAAAGTTCACACAGATTAATTACCTCTGACACAAAAGCACTATGTCCCAAATTAGTAACAATATAAAAGGAACAACTCTTTAGGAGAGGGGGAGGAATGCAGTCATTGACTGTGTGCTTTGGGCAAAGCTCTGACAACCTTCCTTAAAAAGGGAGAAATCAACAGCACTGCTCGTGTCACATATCTAACCATCAGCACTCAGATGTAAATACTTTTTAGTGCTTGAGAAATTCTATGACAGGTGCCATCCTTGGGTGTGTTTACAGTTAGCTTCTTCCCACTGGAAGATCTAGAGTGGTGGAAATGAAGTAAGAAAGGAACTCCCTCTTCTAGCTCCTGTGCTCTGGTCAACAAGGGAAAGATTAATCCCCTAAAAAAGGGATGGAACTATACATTGGTAGTTCAGGGTTTATGGCAGCATCAGGAAAAATTCCTACCAGCCAAATTTAACTGTGAAAAAGCATCGTATGAAATACAGTTTGGGTGCAATTCCAGGCTTTTTACAAATAGGTAAAGAACCACTTTCACTCGCCACAGAATAAATCTGGCAGCCCAATAGGTCTTTCTGCAAAGAAACCCTGACATCAGGGGCTACAGACCAAACCCCATGTCTCAAACAAGTAGAGCTCCAGTTAAACACTGGAACTCCTGTTCAATTCCAAATGACTTCAAAGACAGGCAAGTCTTCTTCCCTTATTTGGAATTTTATTTCAGTATCCTCTAAAAGTGCTGTTCTACCTAATGAACAAAATCCACAGATCAAAAGGTTTAATGCTCTGTTCCCTGAAATCCATATAAAGGGTAACTGTTCTGTAGACACTTCACAGCAAGTTGTAGGAATTGCTGCTGCTACAGGTTCGTTCTCTAGGATCCCCTGTTAATGAATATACAGAGAGTAACTTGAAAGAAAGCAACGAAGTCATTAAATGTTTGGGTTTGGGCATTTTAAAAACAATTTACCTGGTTATGAACTTCTCCTCATTGATGGAAACATAAGGTAGATGCTGTGCTTTCATAGTCACTTTCTTCATTTATTCAGAAGAGATGAATCTAAACGAAAGGTTAACAATTAATTATATGCACTAATGCCACTAAGAAAGACTAAATGGTAAGCACAACAACAAAGCCCTAGTTTGCCAAGTGAAACAGGCTTGGTCACTCAAGCTAAGAGCTAACTATACTACATTTTGACTACTTTGTACTTAGCCTTAATACCAAAATATTTTCCATTTCTACTAAAAAAAGTCATAAGCCATTCCCACCAAGTATATCATGGTGCCTTAAATCCGAAGTAACACATATATCAGGACTTTCTCGAGAAGTTTTAGGACTACTCTACAACTCCCTGATTATGCTTCACTTGCTAGTAGACTGAGACTGCAACAGATTTACTGGTTAGGATTCATTTGTTAATTATGGATAGAGCATTGCCCAGGGTCACCAAAAAAAGAGTGACTCAGCAAACCACCCTTAACCAGGTTTGTAAAACAAGACAAGTGGAATTGTTGATCACTGGCAGTGTCCCACAGCACACAAAGAAAGCAGCTAAGATATTAAAGAGAGAACAAGGCTATAATTAAAGTGATGTAGCAATATAGTTTACAGATCTCTGAGTAGTGATTCCAGCACGTTGTGTAGGCAACAAGCCAGATCCATGAGACTCCAACAATGCATTGTTCAACAAGCTTAATTACAGAATCATGGCTGCTTTCGTTCCCCCTCAGGTACTAGAAGAAGAGGCAGAATGAGGAAAGTAACTGAAGAAACTCAGAGACTCAAGATTGACAACTGATACTCCACTGAAAAAAAAAATTAGTCTCAGCCCAAGAAGTGGCACCACACAAATGTGGCAAAAAAACTAATCACACTGAAAGGAATAAAATCTCCAAAGACTACATTGAAAGTTGATCATTCCACTTTTATTTCTCTCTTATTTGGGCGTGATGACAGAGGAATTTGCTTAACAGCACTTGATGTTATGCCAGGAGATTGACTCGAGTCTGATGTTAGACTGCATAGGACAGAGCCTACACAAAGACATCTGAAAAGTCATTTATTGTCTACAATACTAATGACAAGTAGCCTTCAGAAAAGAAATTCAAAAAAAGAAGTTCAAGCTTGGAAGGACCATGGCTAGCTAGAGAGTAAGTGACTAGCTTCTGTACAAATGATCCTACACTACACCAAAGCTGCTTTTTCAGAAGAAGTTACATAAAGTTTCCACAGTCACAGATGAATGAATTCTAAAAAAAAAATATATGTGGAAAAACGAGAAGCTATGCATAAAAATACATTACCTTCACCCTACAAAACACATAGTTATTTCACAACCTCTAAAACCAGAGTGCACTATCAAAATTAGCTTTATGCAAGCAGCTGGGGTTTCTACCAGCACCTGACCAGAAGCTCACTGAAAAGAGCAGGAAGGATCTCACATACCCACTGTCCTTTGGGTGACATCCATCAAGGCAAAAACATACCTGAAAGCCAAATAAGCCCAGGGATGTCTGTACAGACATGAGTTTGTATACAAGAAAGAGATTGCTGTATGCTGGTATAATAGTGTTGTTTCTTTGCCTCTGAAGTGAGTTCAGTAACCATTGGCCACACCTTGAAATCTCATTTTATGTGATTTACTAATACCTCTAACTAAATCAAATGCCTATGCCAGTGTAATTTCAAAACAATTTTAAAAGATGCAGAGGAGTTTATGTACACTGGCACTTGAATAACTGGATATACATTTAAGCTTTCTCCCATCTGTCAGGAAACAACACGTTAAAAAGAGCAGATAGCCAAGTCACCACTATTAAACTTAGAGCAATAACTCTAGCAAGCTCTAGCATCGCTTCATTGCTCATGGTTGCGTTCTTTTCCATAGAATTTGTTCTTAAAATGATTCACATGAAAGAAAAAGCTGATCTCTACAGACTGAGAGAAGTGATCTTTACACAATAAAATGATATCACCAAACTACCTGTTCTGGTACACAGAGAATGGCTCTCAGTAAATTATTTGCCTTAAAAGCCTTGAGCATGCCTTAAATCAGATGGATGCCATTAAAATGCTTACAATTAAACAAATGGGAAGCATAGTTGGTGATGGGAACGATTTGTCACCAGTTGCCTCCCCATTTTCTCTCCCTTGCTGGCCAGTTAGCTTGGACAAAGACTGGACTTTTCGCCTATAGCTGGCTGGTGCAGAAGCACAGAAAACGCTCATTACATTTTCCTCAGTTATGTGATCAGTATGGCTTGTACAAAACATTTCCACACCTTCAGTTCACTCTAGAAATAGAACACTTCTCCATGTACCCTTCCCATAAGCACATTTTGGCTACATGCATCTTGTGGCCTTTATTTTTAGTTAACCCCAAAATCTGTGGGTTGAGAACACACAATGACTTCCTTAGCACAATTACTTGACACCACAAATGACAGTATATTTACACTGGCACTCAATAAACCCACAAAGCTGCCACATTTTTTATCACCTCTTGGTATTTTATTATGTTCCATGTCATTTCCCTGTAGTTCTTTTGAGGAAGCAAAGAGAAATTAAATGTGTTTTTTCCATTGTTCCCTTTGATTTGAACTAACAAGAACACGCTAATTTTCTAGCTCTTCCAACAATATACAGTTTGGCCATCTATTCAAAGCTGTCGCCTGACTTGCTTGGTGTAAGACAAGCATCTCCATCATGACATTAAACTGGACTAGAACCTCACAATTCCCTCAGATAGGTAAGACCTTGAAAGTAGGACCTTGTCTGGACTAACCTCCTGGCCTGAAAACTAATAAGAAACTTAATGCTCAAAGGAATACTGACTGAAGCCTAAAATACTTTTGGAAGGAAAGAAAAGAAACAGAAGGGAGGCAGGAGTAAATGAGAAATGCAGCAGATGCAAAATGAGCACCTCTAGAGGGAGACTGCAACTATTGGAGAAGTCTGGGAAAAGGAAAGGTAAAGACCACTGCACAATCCCAGAACATTTTTTTTCCAAGAAAGTCAAAATGTTAGTGGAGAGGCAGATGAAAGGACTTGTTTAATTTTATTAAGTGCAGTGATCTTTAAGTTATTTGCTTAAGGGGACAGCACAGGAAGAAGACAGTAGAAGAATGACAAAGCAAAGGTAAGAGCAAACAGCCACACCGACTTTTACACAAGGATAAAAGGAAGCAGCTGTAGAGGAGGGCTGGAAGGAGAGGGACACCCGGCATCCAGAGTTGAGCCAATCAGGAATAGCAAAGCAGCATTTTCATTTCTGTGTTAACAGCCTGAATGTACTTTTTGGCGCGCCCTTGTATCAAGATGGGGACTGCAGAGCAAGCAATGTGCAACACTGAGCTCCTACCAGTGTTAAGAAAAACTAAAAACTCAAAATTCCCTAAAGATTACCAGGTATTTTGACCCAGTGCTTCCTAAAGCTGTTCCAAAACCACAGGAAGTTAGGATGGAGTGAACTTTCTTAGTTTCTTCTTTAGGAACCACAAGGCTCAGCTGTCCATTAACTTAGCTATCAACAGCATATACATCCTCTATTTTGTACAGCACAAAGAGCTATGCACTATAGGCACAGCAGCACATATACCCAAGTCATTTTTTAAACTCACAAGTGTCTGGTATTTAGCAAAATTTTGGACCATTATCTGTTTCTATAAAAATGAGTTTAGAATATTATTCACATACATAAGATATTCAGTATCAGCCAAGTAATTTTACTAGTCTTTACCTAGTCACACGCTCTAGTTACATAAACCTTCATGTTAGTTTTGTTTTTACTTTACTTTTGCTAGATGTCCTCATCACCAAAGCAAAAGTCTAATCAGAAGAAAGTACTTACTCCAAACATTTGTATTTTCCCCACTGAAAACAAGGGGGGTTTTATCTTGCAGGCTTCTTTACACTTTCTTTTAAATATTCACTGCTACAGCAGGGAGCAGTAACAGCACTACTAGAATACAAAACAGAGTGTAACCCTCTGCTCAGGGAGGTTCAGAGTGGGCTTCAATTACTGAAACCAAAAGTTGGTATTTATCTGTGAATAGAGCTCCTTAACTTTGAATCACAAAGAGATACACAAGCTCCCTCCCTTTCACACGACCATGATAGAGCAAGGCTTGCACCACATCTATTTCAAACACTAAGTAATCCATTGTAATGAAGAGAAGTTACTTTCTATTTCAGGTTGCTTAGGAAAGATTGCTTTTACCCGCCAAAAAGAACAGACAAGGTCACTGATGTAACCTTTTCAATCACACCACCGATTGAGCGAAGGGCAATGAAGGCTTTTGCCCACGTACACACCGAGCAGCAGCACTACCTATTACCTGCCCGTTTTAATCACAACTCTGACTCACGCAAGACACCTCGAGATCTAGGAACTTCTTTGGCGAGAATTTCTGACCCAACATTTCTCCCTCCCTCGGGCACCCTGATTACCCAAAAGGAATCTGACTCGAGCTCTGGGTGACTGCGAAGGACCTTGTTTCCCACCGACACTGCAGGTTACACAGCAGGCAGAAGAACAGCTCCAGCTTTACATTTCACTTACCTGTGCATACGATCAGAGAAGGAGAAGCAGAGGAGGAGTTTCACATACCTTTCACTGAGCCCTAGAAGAGGCATGACAGCATTGCACTGGCTGACAGCTACTTCGGGTACTTCATGGAACCCACAGAGCTGTTAATTACTGTTTTGCTTAGCAAACTGGGAGTGCTGGAAAGCCAGGACACTCCCCGCACCTCAGTGCATGTCGGGAATATTTACCTACCCACTTTCCTTCCTCCAAACGGCTGACAGGAGCGCTCCCTTAGTCATAGTTACACCTACGGGAGGCTCCAGTTAACGCTTTAATCACTAACTTTATAATGAGAGGCAACCTGCTGACTTGGTAATCATTTGCTGACAGGGCACACCCTGCAACATCCTGCGCTGGAAGCACTCTTACGCTTTAACCTCTTGTCTGGTTTCTAATTCATAGGATAAAGTAATTTTTGCTCCTCCACATATATGCCAATCTTTAGTGTTTGGTGGAATCATCAATACAT